CCCCTCCCTCTCTTTCCCCCTTCACTTTCCCTCTTTCCCCTTCTTCCCTCCCCCTTTCCTCCTTTCCCCTCTTCATCCTCTCCTTCCTCTCCCTTCCTCTTCTCCCTTCCTTCCCTCCCTCTCCTATTTCCCCGCTTCGCTGTCCTTTCCTCCTTCTCCGTCTATTTCCTTCTTTCCTGCTCTACCTCCCTCTTTCCCCTCTTCACCTTCTTCTTCCATCCTTCTTCCCCCTCTCCATCCCTCCTTCCTCTCCTCTTCACTCTCTTCTTCTCCTTTCCCTCTCCTTCCTCCTCTTTTCCCCCCCTTCCTCTTTTTCCTTCCCTCCCTCCCTTCCGTCCCTCTTCCCCTCCCCTTCCACTTCCTCCCTCCCTCCCTCTCTCTCTCTGTCTCTTTGTTCCTCTCTCCCCTCTCCCTTCCCCTCTGCTTTGGCTCTGCATCCTCCATCCTTCTTGTTCCTTTGCATCCCAGTGCTTTGGGATTTCTGGTCCTTCCTTAGTAAAGAAGGACTGATTTAAAAATAAATAATTATTATGTGGCATAAAGGTGCCCTCTGAGTGTAGGCCATTCCTTAGAAAAGGAGGAGGCGATTTTTAAAAATAAAGGTAATAAGTACATGAGTGGCAAGGGTGTCTTTGGTTGATACCTTTTCTTGATCAACTGTGTAGTTGGGATTGAGTTAGGTAAGCTTTTAAATACAAGGCACCGCATCCTCTCATCTTGCAGTGCTTCAGTTTAGAGTCCATGCTGACACCTGCCGCACTTCAGGCTTGTCTTTTATACTGGGCTTGATGTCTGTAGTGGGCCAGGGGAGAAGGGATGATGGTTCAAAAGGTGGTAGCCAGACACTGCCTGATTTTTCCTTTTTCTCTCTCTCTGGGGTTTAAATGTGTTTTGTTTTTCCCCCATTGAAATAAGTTGGTTTTGAGAAGATCGATGTTTTTTCTGTTTGTAGAACTTATACACAACACAGCGTTTCTTCTTTGAATGCAGGTGATTCAGTGAACAATGAGAAAGAGATTGAGGAGGGGGAGACAAAGAAAAAAGAGAAAAAGTCTGCAGCCCTGAACATCAGAGGTACGGTGATGGAAACCCCCCCCCCCCCCCCCTCTTTAAAAAACGGCGCCCTCTCTTTTAAATAAGGCTGGTCAAATTTCTCTTGACGTCATTTTTTGAGGAATTCTTCTCAGAATTCCAGTGAAAATTTAAGGAGAATATTAGGATGCTTTTAATAATTTTGGTCCATCTAAGTGCACTTTTGGCCAGGTCTTCAACTGGTGTGAAGTGGCATTGATACCTTGGCATCAGTTGGTGCTCATCTACACCATTTGAGGACCCAGCCCGTGTGTGTGTGTGTGTGTGTGTGTGTGTTTGCACTTACATATTTAGTTTAACTCTTGTGCATTTGAAAGTAGGCAGGGTAGGCTCCTTTTTACTAACTTTAAATAACTAAAGGATCTTTTTTCCTCCTCTTCAGCACTTGCCTGAACCTCTATAGATTGACCATCTTCAGTGGCCTTCCACAGATAGAGCAGTTTCATGTGGTGGTACTAGAGCAGGACCTAGCAAGCTCTTCCTTTAAGGAACCTAAGGGGGAGAAAAATAAGTTACAGCTGTGTGACACGTTGATGTCATCATCTGAGTTTTATATAGTGAAACTTAATATTCCATAAAATCATATATTACAGTAAGCAACAAAAAACAATAAACAGGAAGTTTTCCTTCCTGAGATCATTTTCTGTGTTCTTATATGCAAGTATTATTGCCTTGCCTTTCCACATATAGGGCTCAGAGCTGGCAGGGCTCAATAGCAAAGGCAGTGTTCTTGGACTGAGTTCAGTTTAGTGTATTATGCCACTGAAAAGTGAACAGTAAGCAGAGAGTGTTAATGGGTGTCAAAGGGAGCTATGCATAATCATCCTAGTCCAGAGGGAAGGATTAAGCAGATGTCTTCCAGCAGCAAACCACTTTTGAGAGTGGTTTTAAAGCATATTTTTCAAAGGAGATGCATTCTTTTATTCTAGACCCACAAATCAAACAGAACGATATTAACAACTGAATTTGTCACAGCCCTGCTTTGCTACTGTTAACATAGGCTGAAAGTGCCAGCTTGGATGGGAGAGATTGTTAGAAAGTCCAGTTGGCTTGCCAGTGGTAAGATGAAAGGAGGAAAAAAAGTTTAGCTAGCCAAAAAGGGAAATCAAAAGTTCTAAGATTACTGTGCCTGTGCAGAGACATCATGTCCTCAGTTTAATTCTTAGAGGTGACTGGGAAGTGTGTAACAGGTCTCTTTTGAAACATACAGCCTTTTCTCATTCTGTTTCTTTTCTGTTTCTGTATTGATGGAAATATGTGGAAGAATGGTATGGGGTGTTCTCTGGAACTTAGATTACTACAAACTCATACAAAAGAGTTGATCTTGAACTTCAATATTTTTACCTGGATCTACTTCACAACACACAGAAAAAAGAAGCTAACCTCAACAGTGACATATACTTTCTCCCAATTTCTACCTATTTCCATTCTCACTGACATTTTGTCATACTTTTAACTTTTCTCTTTCCTTGGAGTTGCAACAGCAGAGACTCCCTCTGCCTGAAGAAGGGTGATTGCACCTGAAAGCTTGCTAAGAACTTTTTTCCAACTACTCAGTTGGTCTAATAAAAAATATCACATCTACTCAAAGAACCTTGCTTACCTGGATCTAAACATTTTCTAAATTGAGACGGCTAATGGACTGTGTGCCTGTATGTGTCAGTGCTTATGCCCATCCCTTTATCATTTCTATTTAGAGACATTTCCTTCCCTCCAGAAGTGTGTATTTAACTTTATTGCTGCTTATTTATTTTAGAGTTCAGCAAAATCATAAAACTGCTGACAAAAGAAAAAAAAATAAGCCAGCTACTTATGACAGAAATGGGCTATGTGCCTTGCTTATCCACTTAGTAAAACTGATTATTATTCATGGTCATAACATAATTGATCAATGCCCTTTCGTAGGTGTGCCAGGTTCTCAGTAAAGAGCAGGTAGATAACAACATACATTGCTGTGCTTTGAAATGCTATCTTTTTTTGTAGAAGAGAAGCCTATGTTGAAGGCTGTTGTACAGCCTAAACACTTAACATAGCCAATTTAGACAGCCATACTGTTGTTCGAACTTTCATTATTTCCTTTCTTTTTTATCTTGAGCAGATGAAAGCTTTGTATATGTTCATAGCATTTAACTTCTTAAATGCCAAAAGTCTGTAACAATTAATTGGGGGTTTTTTCCTCCCAGATTGACAATGAATGTACAACGTTCTCTATTTCAGGTGTTCTTTTACATGTTATGGGAGATGCACTTGGATCGGTGGTTGTGGTAGTTACTGCTACCATATTTTATGTGCTTCCCCTGGATGCTAACGCTCCATGTAACTGGCAGTGTTACATTGATCCAAGCCTGACAGTCATCATGGTGTTCATCGTTTTGTCATCTGCCTTCCCACTTATCAAAGAGACCTCCACTATTTTGCTGCAGATGGTTCCCAAAGGTGTTAATATGCAAGTCCTGAGTAAGTCCATTTTTGATTAATTTTTATTGTTTTTTTTAGTACACTTTAATGCTAGTTATTTCTGGAATGACATACTTGGATTATATACTCCTAACAGCTCTAAATGCTCAAACTGTGAGAAATGGAGTCACATGCCTGTGTCCTAGCAACATGACTCAAATCTCTGCAGATTAGTTAAAGCGTGTATTTTGAGAATGTGGCACTCCAACAATACATAGAAAATACCAGACCTTGAGCTGTTAACATTTTGTGTGGCGTGCTTGTTCAGAAAACAATGCTAAATTATATTAGTACTTCCCACATGCCCTCTGTTATTTCAGAGTAGCATTGATTTAATTAATTTTGTCATTCTTGGGCACGATAATGATTCAGTAACTTTGGGATTACTTTTAGTTTTTGATTTCCTGTATCTTCAGAGCTGAGCAAAATAGAAGACGGGGTCACTGGTCCAAAGTGATTTATGCTAACAGAGATTCTACCAAGTGCTGAGTAACTGCTGGGAGGGATTGGAGTGACCCTAGATGCATTGAAACCAGTAGGAAATGAGGGGACTTCCAAAGGATTCGTGCAGGCTCTGGAAGATCAGGAGAAAGTGAAGTCAGCAAGGAGTATAGCTGTATTATACACAGTTACTTATAAAGTATGATGCACTTAGGTAGAAGAGCACTAATGGGTGTCCTTTCTCTTGTATTTGGGGCTGCCGTTTTTAAATAGCATTCTTAATGACAACCAGGAACTGGTGCTTGGTCCCTTCTCTAACTTCCCTAATTATTTTCCCTTATGTTTTCTAGCAAACAAACTAGCTGATGTGCCAGGGGTTAGCAGCCTTCATGAGGTGCATGTCTGGGAACTTGCAGGTGGGAAGAATGTTGCTACCCTTCACGTCAAGTGCCAAGCTCCTTCTGATTACCAGGATGCTTCTTATAACATACGGAAGGTTTTTCATGAAGCAGGGATCCATTCTGTGACCATCCAACCAGAATACATTGGCCACAAGGGCTCTGAGCTAATGTGCAGCTCACCCTGTATCTCTAAAGCCTGTGCTTCTCAGCTATGTTGCATACAGCAGGAAACAACGCTTACCCATGCTAATGGGAGTGTTGAGAAAAACGACGGTCTTCCCCCAGCACTATCTAAAGACAATAGTTTTAATAAAAATGATGTAGAAATTCCTATTGGGTCTACATTAGCAGATGAGAGCATTAACAATATGAAAAATTGTAACAAATCAGGAGATGATACATCAATCATAAGTAGTACACGATTTTAAACAGTTTGTTTTGTACTTGGTAATCTCTTTATAGAACAAAGCCTCATGGCTGAAATGTAAGCGGCCATTGGTTGTAGCTGAAGTCTATGTTGGAAAAGCTGTCTGTGCTGTAGCTGTAAACCAAAACATGTAAAAACCATGCGTCTGAAATGAAGATTTATCTTCATGAAGACTTTTGCATTCACCTAAGATTGTTCTAAAGCAATTTAACAGTGATTCCTTGACCTAACTAGATGGGAATTTGTATTTTTAGTGTGTATCAGTTGTTTTGCAGTCTAGGTTGGTGCTTACAGTTTATGACCAATGGCACTGGGATTTAAACTCTGGTCTCTTTACATAATTGGGCTGCTCACTGAAAGCCTTCTAGTGAGTTGATGATTGTACTAGACTGAAGCACTGCATCTTCATAAAAGAATTTAATATATATATTTTCACTAGTTCTCAGAACTCTGTTTACACAGTCAGGATTTCTCAGCTGTAACAGTAACTTTTGTGCTTCTGAACTATGGACCTGTGAATTAAATCAGGGTGTCTGAAAATGTGGAGCATACACTCAGGAATGTTTGACTTACATTATTTTCTGGATTGATGCCTATATTTAGGGGATGGAGCAAAAGTGGATTTGTTGCTTCTTTAATAATAATATGTGAATGTCAGTGTACTTAATTCTGATTAGACTAAAGAATACATGGTCTCTCAAAGCATATGACCGCTTGTTCATTAACACCATATAGGACTGTATCTACTCTAGTAAGTGAAAATGTAGACATTCATCCAGTTAGTTCTATCTTGTTCACCTGTTTGATTATAAAACCCAATTTCTTTTGCCAGCAGCCATTATAACAGCCACAGTGAATCTAATGAATTATGTGGGAGTGACAGTGATTTTTTTTGGGGGGGGCATCATAGTTATTGTCATTCATACTAAATAAATAAGCTAAAGTGCCACTTCATGGATAGTTAAGATTCTGCAATTCTGTTCTGTCTATCAATAAGACACAGTTTAACATTGAGTTTATTCAGGTGGTCCCTTAAAATTTGGTTTGCAATTTTTATGCTTAAAAGGAGCTTTTTAATCTTTTCAAAGTTTATTCCCATGGTTTTATTCTCATAATCTGGTTTGAATTTTTTTTTCAAGTTTTCAAGTCCTCCTCCCCCCAGCTCCATCTTACCATAGAGGTATATTTTCAAAATGTTGTATTACAAGCACAGTTTCTGTTATTGCTAGAAAATATACTCACCATTCTAGCTATATTTTTGGAATTCATTTCAAGGTGCTTTGAGGAAAACAAATGCCTCCTCAGCATTGGAATTAGGTCAGGCTTGAGCTCAGTCTGTCTCAGAAGGATCACTAGTACTCACCCACCCTCACTGAGTTCAAGATTTGAGCTTGCCAGGTTAGGCAGATCAACTTTACCAGTGCTCATGTTCAGACAGAATCTTTAAAATGTGTTTTCTGCCAAAAGCAGCCTTCAACAGTCTGCTCAGCCTGGGTAAATTGTGTTTGGCATCTCCTATTTCAGAATCAGGGTGAGCAAGGAGGTTTTGTGCCTGGGGTGCTGTTTTCAGGACCTGCTAGCAAGGCAGGCTTAGAAGTAGCATAAATATACTTAAATATGGGCAACTGTAGTCCCTTAAAATATTCTTAAGGGTAAGATTTAATAAACTTACAGCAGGACTTCTGAATGTTTGAGGAATTACATTTTCTAAAAAAAAGCTATTGCATTGAGTATAGAAAATAATACACAGCTTATATCATTATTTACCCTTCGAACAACAGCTTTGGCTTCGTGGGTAAATTAGATATATTTTATTATTGTCCAGTATAGGTTTTTATTAAATACATTAAATGGCATATCGATATCATTATCTTGCAGTCTTTTGTACCTGAAAATCCCATTGATGTCAGTGGCAGTCCTGGTTGTTTGAAAGGAAGGATGTATAGTTGTTGTATGAACCAATGTAAGCCAGGAAGCATTAACTTCTTATACTGCTCTGCCTTTTAAAAATATGGCATGAAATACAACAACCCTTGCTTCCACTGGTTTTTTTTTTTTGTACAACTGTGGTGATGTTCAAATGTAGTTTCTTTTATTTCTCAATAATTTATTTGTATTTTCTTTCAAGAATTAAAAAAAGAAAAGAAAATCTTTCCCCCTGAATAGTAAGTAGCTATATGATAGCACATTTAAAAAAATGGGCCTTCACATTTATGCCCTTGTGTTTTTAAGTCAGGTTACCAAGTCCTTCTATTCAGTCTGAAAGATTGGTTGTCAGTATTTACTCTGGGATTACAGAAAATGAATAAATATATATTGTGTTAATATTCAGTTATTTGCACCATCTTTTTCTTTCTTCCTTGAATGTCTGATTAAAGCAGAGGTTACTTAAAGTAGCCTGAATCTATAATGTTAAAGTATTGTAACATGAATGTGTGTTGAAACAATTCTATCCAGTTTGTTGGTGTCTCTGGTTGAACATATTGGATCTGTGACTTAATAAAACACCACCAGGGATTATGGAAATCTTCGGGTACAGAAAACAAATGTCTTTGGCTCTTGCTAAATTCAAATGTGCTTACATTACTTTTAAGGAAAAAAAACCCTCCCATATCATTGTGAGGATGAATCTTGCTTTTTCTTGAAAGGGATCCTGAGAATTTTTGTGTAGTAGCAGGACTAGGAAACTTGTAAGATCAGTTCCCTACCTTCGTCTGAGCATCTTGCTACATCATACTTTGCATCTCCAAGTACTCCTAAATCCCTTTCAAAACTAGGTAAGCTGCTTGCTCCTTTTCTGCTTTCTGGGTTGTTTCATTCAACCCATGAAGTATTTATTTGGTGTGAACTGATTTCTTCTTAGATTTCAGCAATGTCTTTTCTAATTCTCTTCACATGCATTTTACTCTTTTAAAAATATGCAATGACTCCTTTAAAATATACCATTATAGTTGACTCTTTTACTCATCCTAAACCATAGAACCTTTCTGGAGTCGTATTCAATTTTGACCCTTGAGGTTTTGTTTTGTTTGTGTGTTAGAACTCATTTCATTTTCTTTTCTTTTATCTAGTCAGTTGTATAACATCTGTTTTTTCTTCCAGGTCCCTGTGATATGTATTGTCATCCTCCCCTCTTCTTACTACCCCACTTCTGTAGCAGAGTGTCACCTGCACCTGTCCTGCTTTTCTTTCTTTTTGTTAGCCATTTTTCCCAGTGGTGAACGAAATCTGTTACAATAATATCAGTGGCATTCAACCAATCATCTGTCTCTTCCCTCCCACATAGTCCACTGATTTCAGCTCATAAGCACTTTCTGAATTTGATATCTTTATCCAATTAACCAGCTGACTTCTGTACCATATTTGCTGGTCTTGCAAATTAGTCTTCTGGGCCAAGATCCTCCTCTGGAAAAGATTTGATTAGCTAATTGACTTGAATAGAAATTGACAGATTTATACTGGTTTAAGATCAACTCTTTATATGTTGTGTTTCCATGTGAATTCTAGCTCACTGTCAGTTTTCCATATGGTCTCATTTCTTGATCTGAAATATATTTTTTTCTCCTTTATTTTTGTATCTCCATTTCTGCCATCCTGCCCCTACTTTTTTTTTGTAAAAGTCAGAGAGAATTGTTAACTCATTCTTAACAGTACTCTTCCATCTTACTCAATTTTCAGCTGAGCTATGAGCTCCAGGGCAATACATATTGGCCTTTATAATCATGTTTCATTCCTCTGCTTTTGATATTTTGTTGTTTTTTGCTTTTGGAGACACAACTTTGTTTAGCTTTCCAGCCCTCCTTGCTACCAATTTCACATCTTGCAGATGCCTCTTTCAAGCCCTAATTTAAGTTTTGCTCTCTCTCATTCATTCAAATATACTACTACTTGTTTTTTTTTTCCCTTTCTCTGGATTGCTAGATGACAAACATAGCTATAGCAAATTTGTTTCTGAACATTTTAAATTCTCCCTGTGCTGTCATGTCCTCTTGTATTTCTTTTCTCTTCTGGAGCATTATCTTAGTTGCAAGTAGACCTTTGGATAGCACTTATTAAAATGATTACATTTGATTAGCATTTGGATACGATGTGCCATTAGATTTGAGTCCATAATTCCACTGGAGTGAAATTTACCACTTGAGGCCTATTAAATCCTTAAGCCCCTTTTAAGACACATACATGGTATTTTCAAGTATTGCATAGGCTGTTTTCAGTTCCCTTTGCACAGGGATGAATTCTAGCCTGAGATGAATAGATGTGTCATATGAATTCAGTTAAGCCATTTAGACCAAAAATCTAGTTTGTAAGCACGAGAGAGTGCCATTAAATCAGTGGAGTTACACAGGGTGTTACTGCAAGGCAGAATTTTATAATTAATTTGGGGGGAGGAGAAATTTCACAGAAAGTTTATCAAAATGTTCTGAAGATTTCTATAGCCACTTACTTGACTGTGCTATGTGAATTGTATGCCCTGTCTGGTGGATGCACTTGTAAATATTTGGACTGTGATGCCTTATATGAGCACTTCACTATATTGAGGTTTTGTTACACTCGTGGAGTTACGTTGCTTAACATTTTGTTGTCTTAACTACAGCATGTGATTTGAATAATGTGCTAGAATTTAATTTCCTTGATCGTTCCCTGAGTTGTACATTTCTCTGGTTTTATTAACTATCAGTGAAAAATTAGTTAACAGTTTATGTACATTTATATTTTTTGAAGTAAAGAAAGTTAAAAGGTGCCATGAATTAAATGTATTTTTAAATAAAAACCTGTTGTACTGTGCTTGATGAGTATTAGAAAATGGATACCAGACCACTTTGTGAAGTTCTTTTAACTAATTTCCTTGATTAGGGACTGATTCTCAGCTAGGGATATGTTGACTTCTTCAGAAGTCTTACCTATGTCAAAAGTCTTGCCTATGGACTCAAAGCAACCAAATTTCCAAATGTTCTAAGCACTCAGCAGCTCTTGCTGAAAAATGGGTGAGATGCTGGGTGTTTGACTATCTGTCCCATCATTGTTTATCTACAGCCACTCAAGATGATTTTGGAGTGAGTTTAGAGCTCATGAGACCGAGGTGCTAAACAGTGGAACTGGTTAGAGCCAAGCATGGTGTATGCAGAATGCTGATGCTGTATTAAGCATCACTGTGTACCTCTGCCAGTTGATCTCTCTTGTTAGTGTCTAGCTTCTGCTGTGCCACTCTTTCTG